ACCAAAGTGTTTGATTTAAAAAAAAAAAAAAGTATCTAGAAGGGCCAGCATTGACAAATACATTGCCCGCCAACAATTGGACATGGAAAAAGTTAGCTACATTTGCATTCTTGTGTTCCATTACATTTCATTGTATCAGTGAGATCCCTGCCTGCTGTCTTTTTAGCTTTAATATTCCACTGCAAATGGTCAAGAAAAGAGAGACGGGATCTCACTGGTCATTTTTCAGATTTACTAATGTGTTAAAGTGAGAACTGTGTGCACTGCACAAGTATCCCATATGTCTAGATGAAGCTGCAACAGAACTTTGAAGTACAAAGAGGATATCCAGCAACCCATCCCAGCTCGATTTACTGCTATTAGCTAAGGCTTATGTGAAAAAAAAAAAAAAATTAAAAAAATCTGAGACAGATCTAAAACTGGTTGGGAAACCAAGACAACAAGTAAAAATTAATTCCAATCCTGGCAACTGAAGATTATGCTCCCTCTACTAATTATTTAAATAATTGTGTTACTTAAAATCCATTACGTTCCAGCTATTCTGTTCAGATGTTTATTCCAATTGTTTACATTGATTTTGGAAAAACACTTGATATAGATGTTGGTAGTTAAAATAGGTTGGTGAACCATCTGAAGATATGAAATTGACATTTAGAGTATAAATTTCTGAATTATAACTCAAACTACGTGTGTACTGTGGAGAAAACACAAAGAATGGCCAGTGGTAATTAAGAAACCTATGGTTTTAGATGGAAGGCTGAGGAGAGTTCTCCTTCTCCCTAAACTCAAACCAAATTATATTAAGGGAGACCACTCCTCATATTGTCTTATGCCCAATTTCTGCCTCCAAAGAAAGAAGAAGTAAAAACTAAAAGGCAGAAATGAAATCCACAGGCAGACAGCCCGGCGACGCACCCTGGGCCTGGTAGTTAAAGATCGACTCCTGACCTAATTGGTTCTGTTATCTATAGATTACTATAGACATTGTTATCTATAGACATTGTATAGGAATGCACTGTGAAAACCCCTATCTTGTTTTGTTCTGATCTAATTACTGGTGCATGCAGCCCCCAGTCACGTACTCCCTGCTTGCTCAATCAGTCATGACCCTCTCACACGCACCCCCTTAGAGTTGTGAGCCCTTAAAAGGGACAGGAATTGCCGACTCGGGGAGCTCGGCTCTTGAGACTGAAGTCTTGCCGATGCCCCCAGCCAAATAAATCCCTTCCTTCTATAACAAGGTGTCTGAGGAGTTTTGTCTGCCGCTTGTCCTGCTACAATACTAGCAGGAAACTCTGAAACAGGAAGAATGTCTGGTAGTGTACTAGATTGTGTGTAAAAAAAAAAAAAGAGGAAAAATTCCTTTTTTAAAACCTAAGAAAATAATCTCAGAAAGATTAAGTAATTTGTCCGAGGTCATATAGTCACATGACTAGAAAGTGCTGGAATCTGAATAAATTCTCTCTCTCTCTCTCTCTGCCCCCTCCCCCACCACCCCACCCCCACTACCATCCCGCAATACCTTCAGGCCTGGCTAGGTCTTTCCCAACCAATTTTACAACTTGAAATGCACAACTAGAAACATCCTAACATCTTGAAAGTAACATTTAGTATCCCTTGCCCACAGATCAGGCATGACAGATGATAGATTCCCCTCTTAACACTTGATTTTATTATCTCATTACTCAAGAATTGGGATTTCCCAGCCTCTCGTGACCTCTATCCTCAGAAAAAGCCATGAGAACTCATCAGGGAATTCTTAGACTCGGGAAAGGCCCCTGAGGAGAAGCTTTTGGGCTCTTCGAAAAGGCCTTGATTCTAAACAGGGAATAGTCTTGTAGCTGAGCTACCATCAAACCTGAGCTCTGAATGGAAGTATGTCCTCCAAACCCTTTTCTCTCCAACTGTCAGGACTCAGGTATGCATTGCAAGAAGAAGCACATAGACAACAGTCAGAACACAGAGACTACTAGGCACTGGGAACCTGAGCCACACACTGAGCTCTCAGTCTTAGCTATTTGCTGAATCCCCTCATCATGTCAGTCAAGGCAGTTTTGAGGGGCAGATGGACTCAAGATTGACCTGTGGTTCTAGTCCTAGCTTTGTCATTCTGTGTGATCTTGTAAAAGTCATGTTTATCATTTTGTTTAAACCTTGCTGCCTGTCATCTCTTTTCTCATCATTCAAAGCACTAGTTTTTCTACATTCCTCACCTTAAATTGTATCATGACAATTAGAGTGGATTTGACAGCACTTTGTAACAATTAAGCGCTATACTAAGATAAAGTCATGATTGTACTTCGAAGATACTTCGGAGACTGATCATAAAGACAGATGCTGATAATAGTTAACAACTTTGTATGCAATCATATAAGGAATACGAGCCAGAGGGAGTCAGAGTCTCATCAGGATCATTGCCTGGCCCACCTCTTTTCTGTCTGTCATAAACCCTAGGATGACATTCCTTTATTTCAATAAATTAGAGCTGAAAGGAAAGTGGTGTGTCATGCAGTCTAGTGGAGGAAACCAGATGACACTTCTCTGATCCACTGCTCTGGAGGTAAGTGCCATTGAGAAGAAAATGGACAATAGGATTCTGTGTAATCCCTACTGCATTTCATCTCTTTTTATCCAGTCACTCATACATTTATTCCACATGTATTGAGCAGACTTTATTAAGTTCCAAATCTGTGCTAGGCTTGTGAGCTCCGATGATGCAGCAATTCCATTTCTTGGGTGTGAGTCAGGATGTGCTTTTATTTATTTATTTTTCCTCATACCTTGTACACTTGCCTCTTACCCATATCCAAAATATAATATGCAAGGAATATATTTTGAAAGTGAGAAAATAAATAGGATGGAATTCTATGATTGCAGCCTCTCACTAGGTAGGTAGAATGACTCTTCTCTGTCTGGAGACATAAATGTGATAATAGATGACCTCCAAATGTTTCTGGTATTTCTCATACTCTGAAATGGCTCAGAGTAAGATAGAATGAAACCAGCCTCACTGTGTCTCTGCTGGCTGAAAAGTCATACATATATTTAAACTTTTATTTGAATCTCTCTTTTACTGATGGAAAATTTTCTCTTCTTTATTGTCATTTATTAAAATATGTTGCCATTTTCTCACTTAATCAATGCTCTCAATCCCATAAGGGCTTGCATCACTGCTTAAGCTGCTCACAGCAAACTCTGCAAATCCTTCCATATCTTCTTTTTCCTTCACAGCCCAGTTCCCCTCCAAGTCTCTACTTCTTTCCTTTATTTCTTCCTCTTTCCTTGTCATCCCTCTTTGTATCCTTTTATTGCTTCTCATTTGAAATCATAAAACAAGAATGGTTTTATTCTTATACTAATTATTATGTTATTTTATTGTTATTCATTTGGATTTGAAATGTGAGTGGCAAAAGCTAGAGGGATGATATTCTTTCTTCAGCAGAGACCCTTCAATGTGCTTCGACTTTACCAGGAAAAAAAAAGGAAGCTTTTTGAAAGAATATCCTCAACTTCCTATCTTTCTTTCCTACAAAATCCTAATATTCTCACCCATCTGTAGATTTTCTCTCAGAGGGAAATGGAACAGAATATAAACTTTTTACTTAATCCTCCTTACCCCACTAATAAGGTAAGCCCTTATAATGCTTTTCCAGTCTATTAAAACAGTCTCTGAAAAATCAACAAAATTAACAATGACTTTGCCATTGTAAGTAAAATGTCAAAAAAAAGAAACCTTTTCCTACTTCATCTTTTTTTTTTTTTTTTTTTGTAGTCAACAGTGGTGGCTTGATTTTATTGACATTATGTACTATTACTTTCATCCTATTTCTTTGATTCTCCATTCTCTGTCTCCTTTGTAGTTTTAACATTGTGACCTGCTCTCATTTAAAAGTACTAGTTTTATGAACTGAACCCCCGTCTTTCCTCTTTACCTTGTATCTCCTAGGAATTTTCTCCATACCCATGGTGCATACCTGTAACTCAAGCCCTCAATCACACCACAATCACTACATTTAATATCCTCTAGACCCTCTCACCAGAAATTTATCTTTAAATTCAGCACATCCCAAACTGGACTTGGTCTCTAACACATGTGTCTTCTGTTGTCATCCATCTTGACTTATTGAATGGTATTTACGTAATGGAAATGTCTATTCATAGACTTTTCCAAGATAGGAAACCCATGGGATTTTAAATTTAATTTTAGAATTAAATTAGAATTGGTGTCAGAGTTGAATGATGTAATACACATTAGGCACTTACAAAAGTAACAGGTTTGTAATGTATTTAAGAAATGTTATCTTTTATTATTTTAATGCATGTGACAATGTACTAGTCACACTACACTTATGTATATATATAACTCAGTAGAGCATTTTTCAATGCAATTGAATAAAATTTATGAAGGCAGAACAAAGGAGAACTCGGTTCAGATGTTACAGGAATAGACCTGGATACCTAGATGTCATATCAATCCCAGCCCCACAGGCAAAACTCACTCTGAGTGCCTTCTGATTTAGTTTCCTCATTCTAAACCAAAGATTTCAGGCTTTTCCTGGTGATTTCAGATTTTTCTCCTTTGCTCCTTGTGCTTCAAACCTGGTGTAAATCTCTTCTGCCTCTCTATCTCTAGATCCAGTCCTGGCTTAATTGCCCTGCTATTAAAGACACACATCTCTCCTCATATCTCTCAGAACGAAATCCAAAACTCCCCTTTTCTAGAAATGTTTTCTGAAGTCCAAGATTCTTCCAAGATGTTCCTTCGTTCCAGGCTTCAGATTTGCCTACTACAATTCGCCTCTTCATCCATCAAAAGTCTCCTTCCTAGACCCAGTAGAAAAGGCTAATAGATCAGCTCCCACCCAGTTCTCCCCTATGCCATCTGCAGATGCTTCCTTACTGGCTGATCTTGGGACATTTAGATGAGTGAGAATTCAGCCTTGTCACTTTCCAGGAATCTCATTTATATTGCAGGTTTCTGAATCCAAGATTGTAAAGTTATGGCAATTCTTTATAATAGCAACCTCCAAAGAGCCACTTTCTTCCTGATGGGCTTCCAAGGTCTAGAAGGTCTCCATGGCTGGATCTCTATTCCCTTCTGCTTCATCTACCTGACAGTTATCTTGGGGAACCTCACCATTCTCCACGTCATCCGTACTGATGCTACTCTCCATGAACCCATGTACTATTTCTTGGGCATGCTAGCTCTCACAGACTTAGGCCTTTGTCTTTCCACACAGCCCACTGTCCTGGGCATTTTCTGGTTTGATGCCAGAGAGATTGGCATCCCTGCCTGTTTCACTCAGCTCTTCTTCATTCACACCTTGTCTCTAGTGGAGTCATCAGTTCTGTTATCCATGTCCATTGACCGCTACGTGGCCATCTGCAACCCACTGCGTTACTCCACCGTCCTGATACCTGTACATATTGTCAAGATGGGGCTAAGGTCAGTGCTTAGAAGTGCCCTCCTCATCCTCCCCTTGCCATTCCCCCTGAAGCGCTTCCAGTACTGCTGCTCCCATGTGCTGGCTCATGCTTATTGTCTTCACCTGGAGATCATGAAGCTGGCCTGCTCTGGCATCACTGTCAATCACATCTACGGGCTCTTTGTTGTGGCCTGCATTGTGGGTATGGACTCCCTGCTCATGTTTCTCTCATACGCTGCCATCCTTCGCACCGTGCTCAGCTTCACATCCTGCCAGGAGCGACTTTGAGCCCTCAACACCTGTATCTCTCATATCTATGCTGTACTGCTCTTCTACATCCCCATGATTGGCTTATCTCTTGTGCATCGTTTTGGTGAACATCTGCCCCGCGTTGTACACCTCCTCATGTCCTATGTGTATCTGCTGGTACCACCCCTCATGAACCCCATTGTCTACAGCATCAAGACCAAGGAAATTCGCCACTGCATCATTAAGAAGTTTCAGTTTATAAAGTCACTTAGGTGTTTTTGGAAGGATTAAGTTAGAGTGAAGAGAGGAAGTTTTGGACATAAAGCCCACAGGTTTCTGTTTGTTTGTTTTCAGCTATGCTGTGGCAAAATAATAAACTGTTGACTGTCAACAAAAAGGCAATTGGCTGTGCAACATAAGGCAGTGTGACCAGGTGAATGTTACTTACCTCTCTGTTCTCCAGTTTCCTCAACTACAGAATGAGCAAGGAAATAATTATAATACCTTACTTCCTCATAGGGATGTTGTAAAGATTAAATAATTTATGTAGTGTTCTAACACAGTATCTGGAAAATATGCAATTCTCAACAAATATTAACCATTATGATTGGACAAAATATAAGAGAGTACAAAAGTTTCATCATTCAGTTCTCTGGCCAGTGTAATTTCATTGATGATTAACTGTTTAAACATATGTTTATTTATTTTTACGTTACTTTATCATAATGACAAATTTTATTCATTTAAAACATATTTGTACATATCTATATCCACACCCCAGGTAATGACTTTTCATGACAGTCTTTACTAAGCATATGCCCACAAAATTGAGAAAAGGAGAAGACGCCCTGGAAGTTTAAGGGAAGTTATCAAATTGAAACAACACAAAATTGTTCATGGATAATCCTCAAAAGATGTAATTGAGATTGAGGATTATCACTCACTATCTGAGTGACTAGGGAAAAGGCTTGATTTCTTCCTTTATTTATGATGGTAAAAGAGTAAAAAGGTAAAAGAAAAGTATGTGTTATTTTATGCTTATTTGTAAGATGTTTCTCTCATCTCTGTATCTAGCCATGTCAAAGTCTGCATGAAGATACAAATACTGCTGCTTTTCTTTCTTGGTGTATTTTGATATTTCTCAGCATATATATCTGTTGTGTCATGCTTGTTTGTGTTGGTACATATGTCCTAGTTGGCCAGTTTGTGTGAATTCATTTCTGTGCATTATCACATATATCTAGACACATAGGGAGTGAACTTAGTAACTCTTTATATATTCATGTAGGTAGAGGTATTCTCTGCTATGACTTTATGTGGAGTCATGAGAAGGAGAGGATTTTGACTCAGCAATTTCTTCTCTTTCTAGTTACCTTGGCTTGACTCTAGATGCCAAAAAGGAAAGTCTCCAGAAGGAAAACATAAAAATGTGAAATTCACCATGAAGAAGAAGTAAATTTAACTAGTAGAGCTAGAAGCAAGTTACCTACACTAAAAAATTATCAATGAAGTTGATCATTTTTTCTTATGCTTGTTGGTCATTATCTTAAGTGAAACATCTCGGAAACAGAAAGTCAAATACTACATGTTCTCCCTTATAAGTGAAAGCTAAATAATGTTTACACCTGGACATAGTGTTTGAAATAATAAACACTAGTGACTCAGAAATGTGGGAGAATGGGAGGGCAGTAAGGCATGGGAAATTACTTAATGGATACAATACACATTACTTGGGTGATAGTTACACTAAAAGCCCAGACTTCACCACTATGCAATATATCTATGTAACAAAACTACACTTGTACCCTTTAAAATTATACAAAATTTTTAAAAGCAATAACATTTAATAAAACTTTTTTAAAATTAAAAAAGATCTTTTTAGAGTTTCTTCTTTCCCTGTGAATAAAACACCAAAGAAAACAACTGTAGACATAACCACTTTTGCATAACTTTAAATAAGTGCATATGATCGTGAATACATACAAAGGTACACAATGGCTCAGGTATTTTAAATATGTAGATTCATACAAATATACATCCTAATGAAATACCGAGTTTTTGATAAGACACATGCACTGAATGACAGTGCTTACATGCTCACACAAGCGAAACCATGTAGATATGCACATGCATGCATATGTGTCCCAAATTAGAAACCTTCTGTAACTATACTTTTTCTTAGTACAGTGTTTCCATACTGGATGAAGCCATGAGCCTTTGGCCAGTGCATGACTGGAATCCCTCACTGATCTGTCACTGTCATTTATTTTATTTTATTGTGTTTTATTGTACTTTATCCATGTTTACAACCAAGTCCACTTACTCACACTGAGCCTCTTTTGGAAAAGTCAGTATCCTTCTCTCTTTGCTAGACTGAGGCCCCAAGGCAGGATTTGGGACAACTTGGTTATAGCAGAGCTCTTTGAATGACATCTAAATTGTGAGCCTAGGGAAAAGAAGAGTTTCTCTTTTATAGAGTTCAAATAAGATAGGTACTTCATCCACTTGTCGTAAGAATATAAAAGTCCTACAAGCTGTGCCTGTGTTTTCTGCCATTTGTCAGTTATCCCTTCAATACCAACGTGTTACTCAGCTCATGGAATATTGTTTGGAAATCAGGACAGAATCTCAATAAGCTCCAGTTTGACGTAAAAGATTAGCTGTCTCTACACTCACAGAATTCAATAAATATTCACTTGTTCCTATAGTGTTATGTCTAAGTAAACACTCAAAGATGACGTCTGATACCTATCAGTAATGACTGCTTTTATTTACTACTAGAAGCATTTTATTTTCTGAATTAAAGTATACTTTTTAGGTAGGATATTACAGAAAAGACTACCCTTCTCATTTTGGATATTTTATAGAGAATCAACATATGATGGTAAACCTTAAATATAGGTAAAATTTGAATAAAACCCAAAGGGATTTTTATAATACAATTTCTCTCCCCATTTGGGGCTGAGAAATGAAACCAAGGTCCTTGACAGAACTGCACACAACACTACCTGAAACCATACTGAAGGAATTATATTTAATTGTTCTGTGCTTGCTTTGCATTTAATTATATGATCTTTGCTATTATCATTATGACCGTGATTCTCCATAATATTCTGAGCACCTCTTACATCTGGGGCCTCCTGTTAGAGTATGGAGGTTTCTTTTCTGTGTCATAATGAGTTTGGTGTAAAGCCCAATCTCCAAATGTCAGTGGCTAGAATGGAACTATGTTGGAAGAAATTAAGCTGGAACTTGTAGAAATAGTCAGAGCTGAATAAGAGGAGTAGAAGTGCATTGTGGAAACCATGTGGAAGGAAGGTACAGCAAGCAAAAGAGCACTTACACAAGCTAGTTATAGATGGCCTACTCTTGGTTCTACTAGCTACTTACATTAAGGAAGGATTAAATTCAGGGCTGGCAAAGGTCTCTGAATAATGTTAGAAGCCAAGAGAAGAAGGCTTAGGTTTCTTAAAAAGACCACAAAGAGCACTTACAAAAAGGTCCCATAAAGACAGAAATCTAGGTATCAGCAAAACATAATAGCCTCTTTCCTCCCTTTTTTTTCCATCTCTGACCCAAGCCCCTCTCATCACCTTTTAGACTCATTCACTTGTCCTTGCCGTGCTTCTCAGTACAGGTAAGTAAACCAGTAACTTCTCAGGCATGAGGAAAACAGGCAAGCTAGCGGCTTTGCTTTGTTCCTGCTGTGGATTTTACTGTGCTTTTCTGAAGAACAAAATTTAGATGTAGGAGAGAAAGAATTAAGATGCAGCAATATGGCAGGAAGTTATCTGTGATGGAGGAAAGCCCAGAAAACCTCAGTCTAGTGAAACTTCTTCAAACAAATAGGTAATTTGGAAAGAAAACTAGACATGCATTCAGGTCCTAAGCACGGGACTGGAGACCTAGAGGTAGGAGTGGGTGGTGAGCAGAACTCTTTCCAGTCTTGCTCCTATGCTAAGCACACAGTGGCAAAGTGTCCTCTACAAAGTGTTAGGAAGCCACACTCCAACCTTTCAAGTTTCTCTTTTCATGAATGTGTTTAGAAATATAAATCTGAAAATTGAATGTTTTTCTTTAAAATAAGGAAATTAAGAGTGTGGTGAAAAATAGAGGGAGAAAGAAGGCAGATTTCACTATAAAGAGTTTCCTCTTTCACAATGTTGCTTAATCAGTTTGCAGATTCTCACCAAATGGGAACTTAAGAGAGTGGATTTGGGAAGCTACAGAACAGCACAGTGGTCAGATATGATACACTGAATTCTAGTACCAGAACTCAGGAAGAGAGGAACGCAAGAAAGAGAAGAGAATGTATGCACACAAGGAAAGGCTCTGTGATCTCCTTCACCAGTCAGTAAATATATCCTGTGAGCCAGGTGATGCCTGGCACTGTCCTAGGCATTCATAAAATGAGGGAAGTTTATTGTCTACGTATTTCATTGGGCTTCTGAGAGTATCAAATGTCATGCTAGACCTGGAAATGCCAGTCAAGTGGGAGTACATGTGATGTACATTAAAATATTAATATATCTTATTTTCAAATTCTAAAAATTATAATGACTTACATTTTCATTATAATTGTTGTCATGAGAAAATGTTTGAAAAGTTAGAAAAAGATACAATAAAATTTATCAATTTAATTTTATATTTATATTAAGTTCTTTTAAAGAGACATGGAGAGAGAAGAGACAGAGAAAATAGAGAAGGAGGGAGAGAAAAGAGTAAGAGATAGGGGAGAGAGCAAAGGGAGAAAACTGCACACAAAGTTTAACCTATACATGATGAATAAATTAACACATAAAGGAATCACTAAGTAAATGAGAACATAGTCTTATCTTTCTAGCTAAGATTTCTTTCTGGAGAAAAGTGATTATTTATCTTCCTTTTATGTGCTTCTCTTTATTCTTGTCTCATTCCCACAATGCCAAACAAGAAGTAGAGCAAGCGACTATCAGAAAACAAGTCCAAATTACTGCTTTATAGAACTATAAAAGAACTAAGAATATCTTAATAATAAACAATCAGAAATGATAAGATTT